CAAACTCAATAACATTACGATGGTATCGATTCTTCAAAAAAAAACAATCAAATATTGCTTTGATTACGAAAACGTACGTCGCATTATTGTTTCTTTATTGGTCAGGATTTTTGACAGGAAATTTTGACATCAAATTTCATTGACAAAATTAAAGAAAAATATTACATGCCTACGTTTAAAAAAACATAGCAATCTTTGATTGGGTTTTTTTTGAAGACCCGATATCCACTAATGAACAGAGAGATCTTGGCATCATTGTAACCAACAATTTAAAATCAGAAGCGCATATTTCTAAATGTATTAAAAAGGCTAATTCTCTGGCCTACCTGACGCAAAAAGCATTCAAGGATCACTCAGTTACTACAATCCTAAAAATATACAAGTGCTACATCAGACCCATACTAGAGTATGCCCAGTCAGTCTGGAATCCTTATTATGCTAAGGACATTGAGGCATTGAAAAAAGAGTCCAAAGAAGGATTACTAAAATTCCACTAGAAACCCAAAATTTCACATATGAAGACCGTGTGAAGGAGTTCAATCTAACTACCCTACGTGACAGGAGGCTACGAGGAGATCTAATCACAAGTTATAAAATCCTAAGTCATTACTACTCCGTCAACTTGAATATATACGTATACTCTAAGCGGTAACCACAACCTCCGAGGACAGTTTAGAAAATGAGAGAAGGAAAGATGTTCTAAACTTCTCAGATGAAACTTATTGTGCAATAGGGTGGTCTATAAATGGAACTCACTAGGTGAAGAAACAGTCACAACTCCCAGTACCAACCCGTTCAAAAATAGACCGAATAGTGATCTCAGTTTGATGTCTAGGACATTTATTCATTATTCTGTGTAAGCTACTTAACAAACATCTTGGGAACTCGTTAAAAAAGCAATCTTCTGGACTTAAAGAATACAGCAGCTCCATCGGTTCTAACGCTTGCAGTTGTTTAAATAATAATAATAATAATAATAATAATAATAATAATAATAATAATAATAATAATAATAATAAGACCAAGATGGAAAATCAGGATAGAACAGCGAATAGCACAGATGCGGAAAGAGCTCTCTCAAATAAACGAAATATGTCGGGGAAACAATACAGACCGAATGCAGCTGATAAAGCAGAGAGTATTCCAGAAACATAAAATAAAAAACAAACAGGATGAAGACAAAGATACGACGAAAGATACAAGTTTTTTATCGAAAACAAAACTTTGCTGAGAACCCCAAAAGTTTATATAGGACATTAAAGCAGAATAACATAAGCATTGAAAAAACACCGACAAAAGAACAAATACAGACATTCTGGAAAGGCATATGGCAGGAAGAAAAACAACACAACGAGGAAGCGCAGTGGATACAGAGAGAGGAGCAACGATATACAAACATCAGGAACATGGAATGGGGCGACATCACAGTAAAGGAAGTCCAGGAATCACTTAAAAAGGCATCCAACTGGAAATCACATGGGCAAGACGGAATACAAAATTTCTGGCTGAAAGGTTTCACGTCAATACACCAACCGCTCGCCCACGAATATAACAAACTAATGAAACACCCAGAAATCATGCCAGAATGGATAACAGAAGGAAAGACACTATTGCTCCCCAAGAATGATAAAACAGCAGAAGCCAAAAACTATCGCCCAATAACCTGTCTAACAACCATGTACAAAAACCTAACCGCTATAATAAGCGGCAGACTCTACGAGCACCTAGAAATAAATGGGATTTTTCCAAATGAGCAAAAAGGGTGTCGAAAAGACAGTTACGGGTGCAGAGACCATCTTATTCTGAACAAAATTATAACAGAGGACGCTAAGAGAAAGAAAAGAAATCTGAGCATGGGTTGGATAGACTATCAAAAGGCATTTGACAGCGTTCCACACTCATGGCTCCTAAAGGCTCTTCAAATATACAAAACAAACCCGATTGTAATAAATATGCTACAAATTGCAATGAATAGATGGAAGACGCACCTAACAGTTAACGCAAATGGAGCAACTATGGATGCAGGGACTATAAAAATCAAAAGCGGCATATTCCAGGGAGACTCACTATCACCTCTCATTTTCTGCTTGGCGCTCTTCCCACTCTCGAATGAGCTAAACAGCACCAACAGAGGATACGTACTAGAGAGGCATAAGCAGCCCGTCAATCATCTCTTTTTTACGTCGATAACTTAAAACTTTACGCAAAAAACGACAAAGAATTGGAAGACCTTTTTATCAATGTCAAAAGATTTAGTGACGATATAAAGATGCAATTCGGACTAGAAAAGTGCGCTAAAGTAACAGTAGAACGAGGAAAATCAACCAAAACCCAAAATATAGTCATTGACAATCAAACCGAGATTATGGATCTAGAAGAGACGCAAATGTATAAATACCTGGGAGTGCTGGAAAATACTGGAATAGAGGATAAAAAAATGAAAGAAAAAATATCCAGAGAGTATTACAGCAGAGTCAGAAAAATCCTACAGAGTCAGCTCACAGGGGAAAATAAATTTACGGCCATCACAGCGCTCGCACAACCAGTATTAACTTACAGCTATGGCGTTCTAGACTGGAATGAGGAAGAAATAAGAAATATAGACCGAAAAACACGAAAGTTACTTACCATCCATAATCTGCATCATCCCAAGGCGGACGTAGACCGACTCTACACAATCAGATCAAGCGGAGGAAGAGGACTCATCAGCAATGAACAGGCATACCATTTGACAATCATAGGTATTACGAGCTACATAAGAGAAAAAAAGGAAGACAGACTCGTGGAGTTGATAAAACACAACGAAACGCCAAGAAAAGAAAAGAATACACTTATGAACAAAGGCAAAAACCTAACAAAAAAATACACATGCAAGAAAGTGAATGAAATGAACGGAGCTACAGCGACAAAAAAGGTGAAAAGGCTCAAACAGCAATGCAGGAAGAAAATGAACGAAGAAAGAGAACAAAAATGGAAGAACAAGGAAATGCACGGACAAGACGCCAGAGAAATCGATAGAGGTGATGTAGACAGAAAACAGACATTCAGATGGCTGACAACAGGAATTCTGAAAGGCGAAACTGAATCGTTGATAGTAGCGGCACAAGACCAGGCCATTTCAACCAACTATATGAGAAAGAAGATTTTCAAAGAAAAAGTAGACTCCAGATGCAGACTCTGTAAACAATATGATGAAACAATCAAGCACATTACCACTGGATGCCCAGCTCTTGCAAGAAAAGAATATCTTGAACGACATAACAAAGTATGTTCAACGCTCCACTATAATGTCTGCAAACACTACGGAATAGAAACTGAGGACACATGGTATAAACACAAGCCAAAAAGCGTTGAAACAAAAGACGAGATTACAATAATATGGGATACGCAAGTACAAACAGACAGGACTGTGATGGCGAACAAGCCAGATCTAATAATTAAAGATCTCAAAAATAAAACCTGTCTATTAATCGACGTTGCCATCCCATCAGATGCCACAATCAAGGAAAAGGAATCCGAAAAGATTCTCAAATACCGAGACCTACAAATAGAAGTACAGAGAATGTGGGGGCTCAAAACAACTATCATCCCTATCATAATCGGCGCAACAGGAACCATCCACAATAATTTCGAAGAGTCTTTAGGCAAAATACCTGGCAACAACAATAAAAAAACAATCACGACGCTACAAAAATCTGCACTTCTGGGGACAGCCCACATAATCCGACGAGGATAAGGAGACGTAGACCATTTATTCTAAGGAACAGGGATTGTTCTTGATAAATGGAGAAACGCCGAATTCACATGGTTGATGATAATAATAATAATAATAATATTAATAATAGAAATAAATGGCAAGACCGACGAACGAACATTAGTGCTTAAAAGGAGGCCAAAACAACTATTATTGAAGCCTTCATCATTAATCATCAACTTTGCTGGACAGGTCACTTCGTCCGCATGCCTGAAACACGTCTTCTACGACAGATTCTCTACAGTCAGCTCAAAGAGGGAAAACGAAATCAAGGAGGTCAACAAAAACGCTACAAAGATGTTCTTAAGGAAAATATGGCAAAGTGCCGCATCGATACCAGCCACTGGGAGACGACGGCAAATGATATGCCCTCATGGCGTCGCGTAGTCCACGACGGACCTCAAATTTTTGAAGATCGACGCAGACACGAGTCCGAAGAAAGGGACCGCAGGAAGGAGTGAGAGAACAGAGGGAGAGACAATGCTGCCAGAGACTGGGTGTGCCAAGACTGTGGAAGAGTGTGCGGCTCTGGAATTGGTCTATATAGCCATCAGAAAACGCAAAATCGACGACAATGAGAGTAGAATAGAAGATAATCATTATCGGTATCGTAAGTGATTGCCTATGATGATGACGATGTTTATAAATTATCAAATGCATAACTTGCATTTATGTCCTCGATAATCTCAATATGCTTCGTAAAGTTTAATTTGCGATCTAAGTAGTAAACAATAACCAAGCTCTCTATAAGATTTCACTTGTTTTGATACAATTAGGCCCGATTCATTGACCCTCTGATAAACTGTCAGGTAATGCAAACTCGGGCAGGAATAAAAACGTAATCTATAATCCTATTGGTCTCCCAGCTTGTCGCCGACCAATAGGATTATAGGATGGTAAATTTATCTTGTAGGTAGTTAAAAAAACCGGGCCTTAGTCTGATAATCACATGTAGGTAATGCCAGTGACTTGTGTGCTTTTGACAATAATTTAATAATTGAGATATAATAGGCACATGCATAATAGCTGTACAGTCTCTTTCGACTTTGCCAGAAGGTATGATGCAAATGAGCATAATACATTTTGGTACACTGGAAAATTTTACAGGGCAATAATCATTTTAATTTGACAAACGCAATCCTGGCAAAACTGGCAAATTAACGTCTATGCTTGACATTCAAAAAAAGCTGAAAATCTAACTTCAGCACGCCACAAATGCATTTCTCAACCTCTATTTGATTTTTAGGTTCGTGTAACGAATGCTCCGCGTTACCAGCAAGTGCAGTCGACAACGTTTCGGCCTCAATCTCAATTGAGTCAAGTTTTCAGATCGCCCGAAGAAATCAATATAAGTTTGCAACAAAGGAGGCCTCAGTACACCACGGCTAAGTACATTGATGTCTATGACAAAAAATAATTTCGCATTTTATTTATCTTAAATTGTAGTTATTTGCTTAATTTTTTTCTTAGTGTTTGTTTTTGAATAAATATTTTTTAATAAAAGTCTAATTCGTTACTGTCCTGTGTGTATTTGATGAAAAAGTTTTGAGGTCAGGAATGGGAAAAAAAATTCTCGGAAACTTTCGTATGCTTAGTTAGAATTATTATCTTATTGTTATGTATGCGGGATAGCAGAAAAGTGGAACTACTCGGAACTTAATACTATATTTTAAATACCATTTGTGAAGATCCAAGAGAGATTCACCAAATTCATTTTTTTTCCGCATTGTTAACAACTGCACATTTTATCATTGTGCTATTGTGAAGGTGATTTCGTTAAATTTCATTGTCTGAAGCTATAAGGGAATCAAGAATATATGGAAAACACAATAATATATTGTGACGGTGCGCTTTCGTCAGGGTATACAGAATTCATGCCGAATATTCCAATTTTCCGCAAATGATCTTCTCCGTACTTCCAGGAAAACCTGAGAATGTCCAAGTTCAGGAAAAGTAGCGAAGCCCTTGTCCGAGCATTGGAACTGGAAGCAATCTTCGATACCTCACGACCCAGAATACGAGCAGTGTCCATTAAAGACCCAAAGGATAAACAATCAAGAGAGGATGGTTGTTTCGAGAATGTTATGAGTAATTTCATGAAGGAAATGAAGAAACATTTACTAGAAGGTAGAAAAACGGGAAACGTATCCAGACAAACACCAACTCCGAGAAACCGAGTAGAATGTTAACGGTGCCATAAGCTTGGACATATTCAATGAGATTGTAGAGTAAGGATGTCCTCCCTATCTAGAGATCGTTTCCAACGCTTTTCGAGATCTAGAGACGCCATTCCTAATAACAGACAGGGAAACGATAACTAACCAGTATAGAGGGGCGAACGCTGGTTAGTAATGACGAAGCCCCCAGGGCTGTTTACATAAAATCATTGGGCAGTCATTATAGAGGATTAAAATTCGAAGGACAAATTAATGGAGAATTTAAAACCATCACTTTTGACACGGGAACTGCAGTTTCTTTAATAAGAAGAACATTAGTCAAGTCTCGGGCAATCCAACCGCATACTACAAACCTGTCACTACGAACAGTCACAGGCGAATCGGCACCAGTTCAAGGAGAAGCTGTGGTTGAGCTTTCTTTTGGATCTACTGCTATAAGGCACAGAACATTAGTCGCCGATATAGAGGATGATTTTATTTTGGGAATAGATTTGATCGGCCAACATGCTTTCTCTTTCGATCCTTCTATGAACATCCCTAAATTTGGTAATGAAAAAGTTGTCCTAGCTACACAAGAAGAATCTCAAGCCGCTAAGGTCCTGGCCACAAACCCGGTGAGAATTCCTGGACGTACTGAGAAGATCATTTGAGAAAAATTGGAATTTTAGGCATGGATTCTGTATACCCCGGTGAAAGCGCACCGTCACACTATCTTTTGTGATCTAATGAATGAGAAGATGACAGACATTCAAATGAAGACTGGGTGATGTTTGATAATAGATATCTATCTGAAAAAAATCAATGAGTTGGTTAAATTGTAGTCATTTGCTGTGCGTACCATGATGCATAGAGGATTAACTCTGGGACTTTTCTTGATTCAATAATTCCAAAATTTCAAGCATTAAATTGAATTCCTTTTCAACAGGGGCTTACTATTGAGGATTAAGTCCACGTACCCGTACCTTAGAATTAGAAGGTATTTCAGTCTTTCTGTTTATTTAGATTTAGTCAAATCAGGAAAATCAGATAAAAAAAACTATTAGAATTTGCAATTTGTATCTTTTAATTCGATAAAACAATGTTTTTACAACCTGTAGCTGTGTAGCTGCACATTTCATTGATGTTACCGCCAATCTTTTTCTGATGTGTCAATTGAAATTTCATGATGTACTTATAAGGAAGCTATCACAAATTATTAGATTTTCACATTTTTCCAAAATGAAAGTCTGAATAAATTTTCTTTCCAAATCCAAGGAAACAGCAGTTAATTTTTCATTATCGGTGTCAATCTTGAAACCATTTGCTCCTTAGCTAGGCCTACCTAGTGAATATCAGGTAAATTCAGAATTTTTACATTTCTTGTTATTTTTAAGTTGTGGAAACACTATTCCATTACCTATGATAAAAGTACCTATATTTTGTTGAAGCATCTTCAATGAATAGGCGGCTATTTGTTTTATTTTTGTATGTCGTTATCATTTATCGTTTATTTGTGAGTTGAGTTGTGTTTTTGTTCAAAATCACAAGGTTTTTCACAATTCATTGCAATATTTTTGAATGTGTTGCGGTAAAAACAGAATTGTGCCTTCGGAGTACTATAGATCTTGAACGCGAAGTTTGCTCAAAGGTGGCTTTAAATACGATGATGCATGTTATCTTGTAAGTATTTTTTTTTACAGTAAAGATGTCGACTCGACAATCAGATCTTCAGCCGAAAGTTTTTCTATTTTCTATTTTTGGGAGCTTCTAAAAAATTAGGTCTGTTTGGAAACTTTGTAGTTGTAGCAATCAAAATTATGTTTGTACAGTTTGTGTCGAAGGTTGGAAACACTGTGACATTTTGTTGAAGAATGACTTGACATATCAAAAGTCAATTAGTTGTCAATACTCTGCCAAAGAAGTGCGTGTATGTCTATTTTTTGCTCCTCAATCAATTCAAAAACACACACACACAGGCACAGTTCGTTAACAAAGAGAACATCACTGTAGCTGTGGCAATGCGTTGTGAAAAATTATTTAAAATGATGTTCAAAAGGTCTGGTTTTTCTGAGCACACATGCCAATATTCAAAATCTAATAAATCGGAGGGGGTCACATGGTATTTGGTAAAAGACAGCCACGATCTTAAATGGTGTAACAATACTTTATGTCATCAAAATTTTAGATACATAACAAATATATTAATTCAAAATGAAATTGAAGTAAAAAAAACTTAACTGTCTGAAGGACGATTTCACCAAATATAGATTTGTTTACTTCATCAAAAATAAGAGTGATATTTATGAAATTTTGAGGGAATTTTCAATATATTTTCAAAATCAAACAGGAAAAAAGGTCAAGGTGATGAGGAGTGATAATGGTACAGAGTTTCAGAGTTTGTGAACTCTTCCATAGATAAGTTATGTCAAATAATGGTATAAAACATGAATTAACTCTACCATACACTCCCCAGCAAAATGATAGGGCCGAGAGAGTTTCGAAAAATAATGGAATCTGTGAGAGCAATGCTTGCTGAGAGCAAGTTATCCAAAATATTCTGGGTGGATGCAGCAAATACTGCTGTCTTCCTACTAAATCGTAAAATATGAACATGGTATATTTGGAGAGGCAGTATGGGCATATACAGGGTTGTCCAACAAGCGCGCCTCGGTCAATAGTAGCCGAACCGTTGAACTTATGGAAAAATGTTCTGTATAAAAGTTTTAGCATATCATCTCTGCTATCTCCTAAAATTATTTTCTAGTACACAGGGTGTCTCAAAAAGGAGTAATCACAAATTTTATGATTTTTTTAAATAGAATACCGTATGTTTTTATATGGCAAATTAAGCCTCTATATGCTCTGTATTCAACTTTAAAATCGCATTTGAGTTGAATGCAGCGTTGCCAAGTTATGATTTTTCGAAGAAAAAAATAGACCAAAACATACTTTTCTAAAATTGTCATATCTCCGCCACTGTACATTAATTACCCTTAAAAATTTACATGTAATCTAATGTTAGCCTAGTTGCTCCTACAATATCTTCATTTTTCGATTTAAGTATACAGGGTGTCCAAAATATTTGCCTAAACACGTCAATTTTAAAGTCCATTTTAATTGAGTTTTTCAAATACAACACCCCGTATATTATTTTTCTATCGACAAGCTGAAAATGTCCTCTTTCAGAAAATATCATATTTGCCGTATCTATCTCATTAATATTTTGAGATATTGAGATTTTCCTTTAACTTTGCACAAAAAATGGTAAAAAGTAAAGTAATTTGGTAGTTTTACCTGGAAAGTTTTTCGGGAGTTTTGAAAATTTTATAGGTTTGGACGTGTTCTTTCTGAGTTTTTGGACAGCAAATGGGTTTTTGGGTTAAAAAAAGATAGAGAGGGTAGGTACCTAACATAATTAAATTTAAATCCAGGTTAGTAGCAAGGAATTTTAAGCAATATATTCTGGAAGATTTGTATAGCCGTGTTGTCAGATTGACTACAATAAGATCGTTTTTGGCTGTGTGTGTTCAGAAAGGGTGGTTTATCAAATGGATGTTTGCAATGTATTTCTGCATGGTGAATTGGATGAAAATTTGTATATGTATCTGCTTAAGAACTATGAAATGAATGGTTGAGTTTGCAAACTGAATAAAGCTATTATGGTCTGAATAAAGCACCTCTCTATTGGTACCTACTAAACATTTTACAACTTCATGGTAAATTAAGGTTTTTATAAAAATAAATATGACAACATATAGAGCAAGACATAGAAAATGGTAAGATTGTATTAACTCAAAAACAATATTCAGAAAATATTCTCACGAAATGTGGTATGCTAGATTACAAACCTGTTGGCACGCCAACGGATTGCAGTTTTAATTAAGATTGTTTAAGAAGTGAAAAATCAGAGAGTTTTGATATTGAAAATAAATGCAGGCAAATCATGTATGCTATGTTGGGGACCAGGCCTAACTTATGTTCAAGCATAAGTTTACTTTCACGGTATCAAGACTTTGCAACTGAAAAATTATTAATCTCTTTAAAGAGAGTATTGAGATCAGTCTGCAATTCGTTCTGGCAGTTCTCATGAACAATTAAAAAGAATTAAACCCTTGGACATTAAATACCATTTTGCAAAAGAAAAAAATGTCGAAGGAACAGATATACTTACCAAACCCTTGAATAGAGTAACATTTGAAAAATTATGAAGCTTTATGTTTAATTAAGTATTTGTTGTGTGTTTTTATTCTACTTCAAGGTTTAGGTATTAATAAGTTGTGTATCTTATTTTTTTTAATTATTCTATTTTAATGCCAAGAAAATTTTGATTGAGTAAGGATGTAGTTGTAGCAA